CCAGAGCACTTCTGGAAAAGCATTCTTTGGACGGCTGAAATTAAGATCAACCGGAGCAGCTCATGATCCAAAGCACACACATCATCTGTGAAGCATGGAGCAGTGTGATGCATGAGCGTGCATGGCTTCAGTGGCTCTGGGTTACTGGTGTTTAGTGATGACGAGACAGAAGACAGAAGCAGCTGGATGAACTCTGAAGTGTATCGAGATATACTCTCTGCCAGATTCAGCCAAATGCAGCAAAGCTGATTGAGAGACGCTTCATAGAACAAATGAACCATGACCCAAGACATACAGCACAAACAATCCAGGAGTTTTTGAAGGTAAAACAGTGGAATATTGTGCAGTGTCCAAGTCAATCTCCTGATCTCAACCCGATTGAGCAGCATTTCACTCGCTGAAGACAAAACTAAAGGCAGAACGACCCACAAACACACAACAACTGAAGTCAGCTGCAGTAAAGGCCTTGCAAAGCATCACAAAGAAGAAACCCAGACTCTGCCGATATCCATGAGCTCCAGACTTAAGTGAAGTCTGACCCATACTCGGAATTAGTGCTCTGCATTTAACCCATCCAAAGTGCACACACACAGCAGTGAACACACACACCGTGAACACACACCCGGAGCAGTGGGCAGCCATTTATGCTGCGGCGCCCGGGGAGCAGTTGGGGGTTCGGTGCCTTGCTCAAGGGCACCTCAGTCGTGGTATTGAAGGTGGGAGAGAGCGCTGTACATTCACTCCCCCCCACCTACAATCCCTGCCGGTACGAGACTCGAACCCACAACCTTTGGGTTATGAGTCTGACTCTCCATTAACCATTTTTAACCATTAGGCCACGACTTCCCCAGGCAGTAATTGCCTGCTAAGAATTCTCAACACAATATTAAAAATTAACATTTTATTTATGATTATATTTATTTGTCCAATTACATTTGAGCCCCTGAAAATAGGGGGAGTGTGTATAAAATGGTTGTAATTCCTAAGCATATTATATTTTTGTTCAACCCCTCGAATTAAAACTTAAAGTCTGCACTTCAATTTCATCTTGATTGTTTCATTTGAATTCTATTCTGGTGTCATACAGAGCCAAAATTATGAAAATTGTGTCAGTGTCCAAATATTTATGGACCTAACTTTACATCTAATTTAATACTAGAATAATTTACAAGAACTGCTACTGATAACAAGCAGATACTCTCAGAATAATTTCAGAATAATCAAACCAGTCGGCTCTAGCTATAACGGCTGTGAGTCTCTTATTTATGCATTGGTGCCTAAAACATACATGTCAAACATATAAAACACTCAAGCGGAGTTATTCATAGTATTTTATGAGCTGGACATACAGCGGTCCACATGCAGACTATAACCATGAGTTCAGTTCGTCCACTTTTAACAGTTGCTGATTTGGCTTTACATGGTTTACTGTGGTGTTTGTTCATTCAGGAACAGTACTGGCTGTTTAAGATGGACTATCAGTTTGACTCTGTCCTTCTCTTCATTGTTTCTGAAGTGTGTCTGACACTGACAGACATTATGCTGTTCATTCATTTTGACTGCATTAAAGAACATACAACATTTGTTGAATCCGACAGTATCAGCATCCTCACTGGGACTGAAATCAAAGTGCAGAGCGCAGTGTGCTTCAGGGGAGGATCATGCTGTGAGCACGCTCTTCAGGAAGAACTGTGTGAGATTCACTGGACACACCAGAGTAAAGCCTGCATTTACACTCATCTGATCAGATACTGATGCACACGTGTGAACATGAGAATCCACACAACATTTGCATTCAATCTGAGCCACCTCCATATGTGGCTGTAAATCAGCTCTGTTTCCAGTGTCTGGACATCAGAGGCTATATTCACAAAATATCTTAAGGCTAAAAGTAGCTCCAAACTTGCCGATTTAAGGAAAAAATAATGAGCGGGTCCAAAATGTTTGCTCTAAGTGTATTTCACAAAGCGTTTCAATGTAAAAAAAAAAAACAAGCTCCTAAATCTGTGAAAGTTAGTGGTACACTCTTAAAAATAAAGGTGCTTCACGATGCCATAGAAGAACCTTTTTGTCTAAATGGTTCCATAAAGAACCTTCAACATCTGAAGAACCTTTCTGTTTCACAAAAGCTTCTTTGTGGCGAAAGAAGGTTCTTCAGATTATAAAAAGGTAAGAAATAGATGGTTCTTTAAAGAACCTTTGTCTGAATGGTTCTTTGTGGAACCAAAAATGGTTCTTCTATGGCATCGCTTGAAGAACCTTCTGAAGCACCTTTATTTTTAAGAGTGTAGTCCAGAGGACTCCTAATTCACTAAGAGCAAATCACAAACCATCCTAAAACGGCTCCTGCCTGCAATCCGCTTTGGAACATTGACATTTTAGAAATATTTCATGATAATTTCCTTTTAGTTGAATTATGTCATTCATTTTATGCACAAGATGGGCAAAAAGTAACAGCTGTTTTTGCATCCAGTTTGGTTTTCTTTTACATCCAGATAACATCTTACTATGATTATTGTAGTCTGTTGATTGAAAGGCTATTTACATGCATATCAGCTTGGAATCCCTAAAACCTCAAAGTTGCTCTTGTTAAAGTGAAAATTATATGAATAAGTGTAAACTGCCTCTGACACACAGTCTGGCTGACTGCACTACAGTAGATTAATATCAACACATTTATCAGATGCGAGCCGGGCAAAATGGCCAAAATATATTTAGCATTCAATATCTATATTTATTATAATGTTCATTTCATGCCATTAATGGTAAAGGAAATGCATTCCACATGTCTGATAAACCTCAAGAAATTTTAAAAGCTTTATTTTGCCCAAAATTACATTCTATTTTTCCCAAATCCTGTTTTCTGTTTTTTAAGCCATAAAACTTTAATATAATTAACTCAAGCTTCTAAAAATTTAATTAAATCACATTCTATTTTTCCCAAATACTGTTTTCTGTTTTTTTACCCATAAAATTACTTCTAAAAATGTAATTCAATGAAAATATAACAATGTACATGAAAGCACTGCATTTCTCAGTCAAATACAGTGCACAGATGCACAACACATTATGTATAATGTATAAATTAAGAAATGAATAAAAAATATCCTGGTTGCATGGTATTCCTTAAAATGATAATCATAAATCAATGTAATGTTATATATATATATATATATATATATATATATATATATAAAATGCTGTACCTGCACTCACTCACATCGTTAACACATCCCTTCACACTGGTGTTTTTCCCTCAGCATTTAGACAGGCTCGTATAACCCCACTACTTAAGAAACCCACCCTTAACCCATCTCTTTTAAAGAAATACAGACCAGTTTCCCTTCTTCCTTTCATTGCAAAAACACTTGAACGAGCTGTGTTCAACCAAGTCTCTGCCTTTCTCACACAGAACAACCTCCTGGACAGCAACCAATCTGGCTT